CAATAATCTGTGAATGTTTGGGGCCAGATTAAGTATGTACTTCATCCATTTTTTTTAATCCCTGTATATTCAAAGAAGACTTCCACATGGATTTGTATGTGCTGTGGTCTTTCATTGACTCTCACATCTTAAGAACTTGATGGGCCATTTAATTGATTCTAGTGAGCCAACACAACTTTCCCAATCCAAATAGTCACTGTCTTGCACTTACAGTTAAGATAATCATCAAATATATCATCTAAGGTTTTCAGTGTTATGTGTGACCCAGCCTCACATCTCACGGAACTTGGTATGGGTGTGAACGATGTTGTGTTTATTACTTCTCAAAGTCATCTGCACATTTAATATGATAAAACACTAGGCTCATATGATTCAAATGATTCATATGAATCATAGTCTCATAGTCATCCTTATGTTGACTTCTCAAATTTTTATTGGTTATGTTCCAGACTACAAGATGGATTCTTAGAAGAAATTGAAGTTAACTCTGTGAAGGCTGCTCATTAAACAAACAAGTGAAAGACTTATTTTATTTATATGTAGATAAAAATGGGTGCACTTTAAAAACAAAAAACAGATGAAGCCACTCACAAACTCAGTTGCACATGATGGTGCAAATGGTGCAGGATAATCCCAAATGGCTGGCCCTGTAGAAATCATTAGTTTTTGGTTTGGATATATATTCTACAATTTTCCTTACTGATACTGCTCCATACCCTGCCTGAGGACACTGTGATAGATGGCTGAACTGAGAGAAGGCAGTCGGGGCAGGTCAGACTGCACATTTTTTAGTGAAAGTGAAACTAAACAGAAGTTTAAATTACCTTTAGTAAATTGAAATCGAGAGATTCACCTAAATATGCATTATCCCCTCACCATGGTGAGGCGAATAGGCGTTGAGGACGCAGTACTAGGTAGTAGTTGAATTTGAGGCCTGCAAGTAATTAAAGGCAAAGCAGATGATCAATTTGAGGATCCAAGAGTTACTCCCTTAAATGTATATGGGAATTTCAAAAAACACTCCATCCTAACACAATCTTCCAACCTCTGTTGTTTAGAAAGTTTCCAATGTTCTTCAATTCTGTAACTGGTGACATAGAACAATTAATTATGAACACAGTTGCAAAGTCATAAGAATCCCCAATAAAGGTCCCCTTAGGAGAGAGATATTCTGTGATTCAGTATGAAATCTATAACTTCATTGTTTTTACTTATGGTATCATGATGATGATAACAGTGATGATAATGTTATAATAATTTCTTCCTATGAATTAAACAAGTTTACATTTAGATGACTAATTTATTCCTTTATTATTCTGCTCTAGGTCATAAACATGTGCACAGCAACTCAAAATGTTACTAAAATCTGTACTTACTTAGTGATTTAAAAATTGTTGAATTGATTGAACACTTATGCACCTTTACAGACAAATGATTTTTCAGCTCAATTTCTAAATGAAAAGAGTTTGAGAGAGTTTAAGATAAGGCATATGGAAAAGGAACATACACCTAGAATAATAAGATATTTTAACTCTCCTCATTGTTCTGTTTTTCTATGCAAGTGCATAGTGTATTGGAAATACTATAGACATGCTGCTTTGTCACTCACAGAGCTCAACAGAGTCCTCCCGACCTGTGTGCATGCATGATTTATACACAAACTATAACCCAGGGACACCCATCAGAACTGAATGATCTTAAGATGCCTGAGGCATTACCATTCTTCCCTGCTCTTGTTACCCAAAGTAAAAGCATCTTTTTTTCTCTTCTGTTTTCTCCTAGCATGATGCTGCCTCAGATCATCCCAAGTCCTTTCCCAATACCATTCCTTATTCTAGATGCAGAGCTAACAATACCTCTATTTCTGTCATCCTACATTGAGGCCATTAATAGTTTTTCTCTATTATAAATAGTACCACACTGAATAACTTTGTGCATAAACTATCCTACATGGTTCTCTTTAAAGGAAACCAACATAAAACTAATGTCTGCTGATTTGGTCGCACAAGGCATACCTATTAGACATGTGTTACTCATGTAAAATGGGAAAGGAAAACATGGAAAATATTTGTCTTCTCTTCATTACTTACCTAATTGCCTCCTTCTTTTAATTTTAAGTTCCTTGAGGGCAAGGATTATGCCTTGAAAATTTTGGATTTCCTGTGAGTCCAGAATTATTCCTTCCACAATACTCAGCAAAAGTTTGCAGTCTTGAACTGAATATAAAATGGCTTTGAACAGTCAGCAAAGCAACACCTGTTTTTGCCTCCACGAGCTACAGTGCATGTGAAGGATTTCATTGGCCCTCTTCACACACAGCATCTGCTGCCAACAGGTGATGCATTCTAGGGAGAAGAGCCTTGCCAGAGGGATTTTCCTTTGCTAACATCCTCTTTCCAGATGTTTCTTCCCTGTAACATATCCTGACTTATGAGGCCCCTGGAGGCAATTGCCATCACTGAGATGACATGTCACACCTGGAATTCAACACTCATCCCCACCACACAATTTCCCAAAGTTAAATGTCAAATCTAAGTTTATTGCTAAGGGACTTAGTTGTTTCTCTGTGAAGCCAAATAGTGTGCTTAATATTAGTTTACCACTCATGTTTACCACTTTAAATATAGGTAGACATGTAAAGAGTAAACTAACTCTTAAGATCAGATAGAATTGACAAAATAATATACAGGATAGAATTCATGGTCTTGTGGCATTCCATCATTTTTCTTAAATATACATACCTTTGCCCAAAATTGAGTCAGTTATATGCTTGGAATACGTCGATAAACTTGACTGATCTCTATGTACTGTCTCCTCTATGAAGGAGGAAAGTACTATATAACTTTTGTTTAAATAGTGACCATTAGCGTGTATGTAATTGTGTGTGTATTTATATATGTACATATGTACACACGTATTTCATAGTTTACTATTTCAAACCTGCACCTACATCTGTATATCCAGATGATGGTTTTGTTTAATTTAAGTTGATTCTTATTAGTTCTCCTATTCACCAATGAGTCATGCACACTTTTTTCTACTTTCCTCCAAGGGTATCTTAATGTCTTTTATTTCTGTTCTGTTTCAGTTAAGCTAAAAAGAGTCTTCGGTTTGGAATGATTCTTATTTTTTTTATTTTTATTTTTGCCTGGGAAAACTCACTGAAGAGTTTAATGATAATTTGTTTTAAATGCCAATTAAAGAATGTCATTTAGAAACAGTTACAATGGTATATTAGTTAGGAATAAGCTTTTTCCTAAATCTTAGCTACAGTTATATATAATCAAATACTTTATATTTATAATCAAATCATTCTAGGGGTTTTTTGGTAATGGAATATTGGTTTTATTAAAAAAATCTAAGATGATATTCAAAGTATAGATAATTTAATTTATCCCTGTGACAAATTTTAATTACCTTTTTAAAAATAGCTGTGAAAACATATCTTTTGCATAAAGAAAGCCTAAGAATGGAACAATTAAAAGAATTCCAATAAAAGGCTTATTTGTCTAAAAATTATGAAGACATCTAATTGCCAATTTTTGGTTTTTACCTGGAACTTCAACATACTATAATTTGTGTAGAGTAAACTAAAACTTATGGCACAAGCTGGTCTTACACACTGCCAAAGTGATGAGTTGGTGAAAGCACAGGAAAAGGGCAGTACTGAAATGAAATTCAAAAATCACATATGTGTCCTAGGGCATTTAATAATGATAGCTAATACTGATGCCAGGTGCTTTACTAAGTTCTTTAAAATACAGTGGTTTATTTAATCCTCACAGCAGCTATATGGGTTTCATCTTTCACATGAAGACACGGAGGCTGAGATACAGACGTAAACTGCCCTGGATAACACAGCTGGTAGAGAACCCAGGATTCGTATCCATGGCATTTGAGGATGAAGTGAGAGACCATCTGATATTTGAAAGGATATGGACAGTTTAATTGGAAGTTCATTTAGGGATTTTCCTATCCAGCATTCCCAAAGTATATTCCATGGTCACCGGTTTTTTCAAATGCTCTTGGATAAAAGCATACATAGTCTAGTACATGAGGGGGGAAAAAAAAAGAACATACAAAGAAATACAATAAGAACTTTTCCCCTTCATTCTTGGAGATTTACAGTAAGCATAACAAAGGTTCTAAGAAATCCCAGGGTAAAGAGATCTGTTTTAACCAGCAGTTTCCAGCCTTCCCTGACAAGAAGACACTTTTCAAGCCCTTAGAAATGGAGCCCCTTCAAATATAAATGGTTAGTAAGTCCACCCCTACTAATTGGCAGATTGAAAATTGAGGTCCCAAATGCTTTTGTAACCCTGAAATCTTTTTTAAATGTTTATTTATTTTGAGAGAAAGAGTGCAGGTGGGCACTCACTTGCTCACAAGCAGGGCAGGGGCAGAGAGAGAGAGAGACAGGGAGAGAGAACATCCCAAGTTCCACACTGACAACGCAGGACTCAGTCCCACGAACCATGAGATCATGACCTGAGTCAGATCTGACAAGAGTCAGATGCTCAACCGACTGAGCCACCCAAGCACCCCTTACCTCCTAATCCTATATATGTTTTACCTCACTTAGCTTTTAAAAGAGCAACTGTTCTGCTATTTTAAGTTTCTTCCAAATTTCCATTCTTATTAAATCATCTCATCAAGAAAGCCATCATTATAGTGGAGATACATAGGTGGAACAGCTAGATTGGCTATATTGCAGTGTCCAATACAAGTATGGACAATAAAATTTTAATTGAAGTAAAATTCAAAAATTCAAACTTTTTTGTTATTAATTCATTTATGCTGAAGTATTCAATATCTAAAAATTGGCGAACAAATAAAACCAGCCAACATACAGAAAACTCTAGGAGAGTCCTAACAATCCAGAGAATCTCTATTTTGAGTGGTGAACATGGGCTGTAGGTATAATATCGTGGAGTTGATCATGTTTAGTTCAATAGAATTTTACTGTATTTTGCTGACCACTGAATGTTTTGTCATTTCAGTTCCTCCGAAGATATATGACATCTCAAGCGATATGACCATCAATGAAGGAACCAATGTCACCCTTACTTGTTTGGCCACTGGGAAACCAGAGCCTTCCATTTCTTGGCGGCACATCTCACCATCAGGTAAAGCAGAAATATATCAGTGTTGTTTGAACCATTGCTCATTATTATTCTGTAACCTCGATGTTCAGAACCTAAGAGTCAACTTATATTTTTTACATATTTTTTGTGAGATAAACAGGATACATATTTTTATACTGAATCTTTATGCCTAAAGGCACTGTAGTTCACAGAAGTTAAATGAACGGTTTCTGTCAGAGCCCAGATTAGAATCTATGTCTCTTGGTTCTTAGTCAAGGTTATTTTCATTTTAGTGTACTGGATAATCACAAATCAATAGACATAAAGCTCAAATGGAAATATCACAAGAGAAATATCTTCATTTAAATGTGTAAGGCTTTTATTCAGTCGTCATTCACATGTTAATAGGCCAGCGTGAACTGCTAAGGTAATCAAGAGAGAATGAAATTATACAAATTATGAGGTTGCTGGGTCTAATTTCAAAATGCAGTTCAGAATCAAGGATTTGGCATTTAGAATTAAATTTTAACTGATGAGGAATCTGAAAACCCAAGACTTTAAGTAACTTGTACAAGACCACAGAGGTAGGTGAAATTAAGGGACGTAACATTTTGTATGGGTTTCGGGTGCTTCTGCTACAGTGCACGTTCTCCTAAAGACATTAAGTCAACTTTAGGAAGTTGGGTATAATCATCATCAAAACAAGGCTGTTTTCACAGCCACTCTTCACAGCATTACCAATTTGTGTAAAGATTAAATATTTGAACTATATAGCTTTGAGTTGTACCCTGGAAATAACAGTGGTACTTTTAATGGATAGGATCCCACCACATACTCGATAAGTGAAATCTGATTTTATTTGTCTTATAGTTTTGGTGGAAATAGCTCTAACAAGGCTAGTGTGATGAAACTGCTTTTAAAGAAATCAGAAAATCACCCTTCATGTAGGTGTAGAAAGAGTACAATGGCCACATCCATTTTATCTGCTAATGCTGTCCTTAGTATCACTTGTCCTTAAGTGTCTTTGAGTTTCCTCATTTATGCAGTCGGTCTAATGAGACTTACATCATATGCTAAGTATTAGCATGAATGTGAGAAAAAAATCAATAGAACAGCAGTATATACTTATATAATATGCATTATGGCCCCTATATTATTTCTGAAACAGGAGTGTGCTCTTGACTGCCAATACTTCACTCCTTAGAGCAGCTACAGAATCATAAAACTGGTATATGAGCACTGAATTAGTGGCAGGACTCTCTATGGGGTCTAAGTGAGACAAACCGAGGGCAAGCAGTTAGGATACAAATACTTTTATCTCAAGGTTCTCATCCACATCAGTTCAGCCAATTGTATTGCAAATCTCATAGCCTCAGTTTCCTTCAGCTAGTTTTCTACTTTCCAAAAATCAAATGATAAAAATGCCTAACTATTGTGAGACTTAAAAAAGATAATAAGCATAAATGTGCTTTAAAAAGTATAAGGTGATATGCAAATGTATGGCTGATTCTTAATCATCTTTCCGGGGATTTAAATCTGATATGGCAATATAATTTTTGTAAGAATGAAGCACATAATCTTCATCTTCATATAATTTAAGATTAATATTTTGGACTGAACTCTCCTGCTTTGCAGTGCTTGTTATTATGCATATTCTTCTTTTTAAGTGCTTAGATACATTTTGGTTTAATTAAATAGCGTGAATGTTGGTTAGTGAAGTTATTAGAATAATGATAATGGATAACATCATGAAGCTGAAAGAAGACAGATTGGGTTTATAAGTTAAACTGCGCATGGATTTATTTTTCTGATCCTGCCATACAGAGCAAATGAGTAAAATTAGCATAAATATTAACTATTCTCCAGTGAATAGCTAGACATGGCCGATATATTTATAAATGCTTCCAATAATTTCAAATTATAATTTATTAATGATCTGTATTCAAATGCACAGCACTGTAGAGTTTCTGCTTTAAGTAACATGTCTTATAATTCTATTAAATTTCTCCAAACTTACATACTTATATTTAAAGCAAAATCATAAACTCCATTGATCTGTCTATATTTTACCTAACGAATATCAACATTTTGTATGCTCTCTTCTTTTGCGATATCACAAAAGAAAATGTATCTAAAAATAGTGGTCGCCACAGGAACAGATAACAGATACAGATACACTCCCTGTCTGTACTAGAAATAATGGCTGGTTTTTGCACATGTGTAATTTGTTTAGATTTTTTTTTAACCAGTACTTTTGTTAATTCTTGCTGATTTGTTCATGGTCTATATCAGTTTTACAAATCAACTAAAAAAATGGTCACTGGATGATAGCTCCACAGAGCTTCTCCCTAATCCCCACCACCACCCCCCACAAAAATTAGGTTGTGGGTTCAAGCATATCACACACATTGCCTTAACTAACTGGAGGTGTCATCCTACTTGTTACTTCAAACAACACATTGTACCTTTCACAAAAACATCGTTCTTGAGAAGTTTCTGTATATATGAGCTTCCTTAGAGTTTACGTATGTTGATGATTTCTTTCTTTCTATATTTTCTATTCTATATCTAAAAATTAATTTCAAATTCATGTAAAAATTGTTACAGAAATAATACAAACTATGCCCTACATCCTTTACTTGATTTCATCCATCATTTTTCCCATTTGCTTCAACATTTGCTGTGTGTAGAGTATATGAAAATTTATATATTTTTTCATTGAACCATTTGAAAACAATCTGCATACATCATGGCCTTTTCTTCCTAGTTATGTCAGTGTGTGTTTCTGAAGACTAAGGGCATTCTTTTATGTAACCAAGATGCTGTTTTCAACTTACGTGCATTTAACATTGGTATCATACTTTTGTCCCATTGTTACTCATATTCCAATTTTGTCAATTGATGGAATAACGTTCTGTATAGATTTTTTTTCCCTCTAAGTACGAAATCCAAGTATCTTATTTTGTTGTCACATCCCTTCAGTCCTCTTTATTCTGGGGTCTAATTCCTAATGGCATTACCAAACATTGACATTTTTCAGCACTGAATGTGCCATCCCCTTCTTTTTTAACAGGATGTGTTCTCATTTGGGGTTTGACTCCTGCTTCCTCGGGATTAGGTTCTAGTCATGCCCATCTGGGACGAAACAAGTGAAGTTGTGGCCTTCTCAGGGAATGATATCCACAGGCGCAGGATATCCATCTGTCCCTCATTTGTGATGTAATTTTGATTACCTAATCAAGGTGTCTGATTTCTGCATTGCATAGTTCTCTCTCTCTCTCTCTCTCTTCCTTTCGCCATGCTACCACTAAGCAGTATTGGAGAGATTTTAAACCCTTAAAATGCAAATGTCTGTTGCTTGTTAACCTTCCCCTTAGATTTTGCATTACCAGTGATTCTTTTGTGAACTAATCTTTACTCTGATGATTACAAAATGATGATTTTTCTAGCTTGAGCAATCCTACTTTTACCAGTCAGCGCTTGGCATTCCACTGCAATCATTAACCTGACTTCCCCTATTTCTTACTTATTTATTACTTTATCTATTTATAATGGTGGAGGCTCAAGGATTCCCAACTTTTTTAAACTTTTTATATTTCATTACTGTCTTTGGTTATTTTGATTCTCCAATTGTCCCTTATTTGGTGAGTAGAAGTCACTTCATTCTGATTCCCATGTCCTTTTGATGTGTTACCATCATTTTTTTTTCAACACTTTGATGCTTTCTGGCATGGCAAAATATGCCAGGTTCATCTTGTATTTTAATTGCCCTATCTGTGGAATCAGAGATTTTACATTACTTCAGATAGTTGGATACAGTATACTTGGGGTTATAATAAGTATACATTGGCTTCAAATATATAACCCTGTTCACCTGTTTTACAGTAAAATTATCAGAAACTCAGACATCTAGACTATTTTCTATGATACTCTATTAACCAAAAGAACTTAAATAACTTTAGTGCAAAAAATTAACCATATTTTGTTTGGTTTTATCTAACAATCCTGGGATAGGGCCTGGAACGTAGTGTGCATACAAAAGGTGATTACAGAATGAATGGTAAAAAGTATTTATGTCAAGCAGAACATAAGGAGGCAATTAACTGTTCAATCATGAGAAACTTAGATAGAAACTTCATGCATCTTTATTTACAAGTGATACTACTGCTTTAATCTATGACTAACTTCTTACATACTTAGACATTTTCAAGGATTTCTCAAAATTTGTAATCTAAGGTAATTCAATTTCATGTAATTTAAAGTAAGGTAAGGTAATTTAATATAATCCCTAAGGGAATTCTAATAATGAAGTTTCCTACCCACAATTTCTTAGGCATCAGACGGTGCTAGTATAGTACAGTGGTTAAGATCATGAACTTTACATCAGTCAGAACTGAGTTTGAGACCCAGATCTTCATCTTACACACTGTAAAATCTTTGACAAAACTGTTAACTCCTTTAAACTTTACACATAACATGGTGGTACTAATTGTGCCAGAATTGTTATGAGTATTAAATGGAATAGTATAGAGCATTGAACAGAGTCGGTGACTTACAGTAAATATCATGTAGTATTAGTGGTTAATTTACTACTGAAATGTGTTTAAACTTTTGATCAAATGGAATCTCCAACCCTGTTTCTAAAATTGAGGGGCTTACTTACAACTCTTGAATGCATTTCACATAGCTGCTCTCAAATGAGGGTATCATAAAGCTAAAACTCACTTAAAACTTTTAGAGAACATTGACAAATTTACACAAGTCATCTGATTTTGAATATAAAAGCAAAATAAAATTCTTAATCATACATCATTAGATTAATAAATCTAGATCCACTCAAGAAAAAAACATAGGAAAAGTTAAAAGATACATTTTAAAATAATAGATTACAGATATCAAATATGAGGCATTTTGAAAGCCTCTATCAAATATCCATTTATTATTCATTGCTGCTTATCTTAATCTTTGCTTCCTAGTTTCTTTTTATACTTTGATATCTGGAATCTCCAGAAATGTTCTCACTCTACCCTGTTGGTGTTTAT